GGCCTCCACGTGCGGCTCTGCGAGGCTGCAGCCGCCGGCGCGCAGAAGAAGGTGGGTGCCAAGGGCCGGGCTGGAGGGCGCGGGGGCCGGCAGGGAGGGGGCTCCGGTGGGCAGCGCCGGTTCCTGAGGCCCGCGCCCTTCCCTTCCCTTCGCTTCTGTAGCCGCTCGCCCTGAAGGGGCTGTTTTATTAAAAACAATGCACTTGGCTTAGGACAACCGTCTCCAGCCCTGCGCGTCCGGCCGCGCAAAATAAACTGTCCAGCCGCTGCGCTGCCTGCGTGGGGGTGAGGGGCGGGTGTCCACCCACCCACCTCCCGGGGGACCTGCAGAGCTGACGGAAGACAGGCCTTCCAGGCGCACTCTCTGATCTTCCAGGGGCAGCGTGGAGGCCATTTCCATATCTATAGCCATTTCCCATATCTGTCTATCTATCATCTATCCATCTGTCTAATCGATCTATCATCTATCTGTCATCTGCCATCCTTTCTGCCTCGTTTTCTGCCTGCCTTCCTGCCTTTTTTCCTGCCTCTCCGTCTCCCTGTCTCTCGTCTCACTTGGGTTCTTGCATTTTTTAATAAAGGGCAGGAGGAGGTGGGCAGCTGGGCTGGCCTTTCTGCTGGTGACTGCTGCTTGTCCTGGTCTCTAAGATGCCCTTTCGCCCTTGAAGCTCGCTGCTCTGCTCAACAAGCAGCAGCTTGCTGCAGATGAGAAATTCAGTAAAAAATGAAGGCGCAGAAAGATAGGGTAGGAATGTGGGGAAACCAGATTGTCTAATTTTATCCTGGATTTGTTGTGAGGGAATCACCAGCTGTTGCCTAAATGAGAAGTGTTTTGATTGCCCAGGTTAGGAAAAGAAAAGACCTTATGTCTGATTGCTCATGAAACAAGCAGTAAGGACTCACCTTAAAAGACAGGTTATTTTATATACAAAACGTTTTCAAATAACTAAACCTCATATAATAGCATTTTATAAATTGGAAAGATGTTAAAGTCAAACAGCTCAATGCCCGTGTTATGAGTTTGACCGGGAAGGCAAAATCTTTGCTGTCTCCTCACTGGGAAAGATTTACGTTAGTAGAAATGCCTCGTAAAGGCTACCAGAGTTTAGCTCATGAGTTTTATTTCATATCGGTGTTGCAGCAGTGTCCAGGATGTGTCCTGGTGTGGTGTCAGGAGTTTAAAGTTAGAAAGGCCTAGATTTCTGTCTGTGCTCTACCATCTAACTTGCTGTGTGCTTTCCGGCAAGTTGCCTCGGCTGAGCCCGAGTTTCCCCATTCTAACTGGGATTGCTGATAGAACGGGGACAGCACCATAGTAGTTAAAACAGAGTACACCACCCAGTGAGTACATAATAAACAATACTTGAGGCTGGTAATGACAAGCGGGTAGTTAGGCTCAATATACCCATGGCCACTGCCCGAGCAAGGGGTCTCCGTGTGCACCTATGTGCATGGGGAGGAACAAGCACTATGTCACTGGTGTCCTTCTGGTCATAAATACATTAGGAGCTGCTTCAACTTTTGAATGGACTGAGGCAAAGTCTGTCCTATGCCTACTGAGATCTGCATGTTTATCTGTTTTGTGTACTTTGAGGTATTCTGAGGCTTACAGTTATGAACAGTTCCAAATGCACACAACTGGTATGATCCTGGTGGATTAATTATTGCTTTTTATTAAAAATAGTGATCCTCAGATGTCACTATAGTCCCTGGCTTGATCTCAGTTTGGGTAGGGGATGGGGAAGGGGGAACTGAGCCCTGGAGCTAATGTTTCCCTGGGCTGTTTTAACTCAAAAGTGTGAGCCAGAGACTAGCATCTCCTGGAGCTTGTTACGAATGCAGGGTCTCCACCTCCACTGAGACCTGGTGACTAGAACCTGCATGTTAATAACATCCTCAGGGGATTCGTAGGCACTTTCAGTTCCACCAGCCCTTTCTTAGGAATTTGAGTGCACCAATGTTTTTTTAAAAAATAGGCCTTATAGCCCAGCCAGGCGTGGCTCAGCGGTTGATCATCAAGGATTGCCACAATTTGTTGCTTATTGCTAGAATAGTTCAGATTTTTTTCCTTTAAAATTAAGATCCTAGCCTGGCCAGGCGTGGCTCAGCGGTTGAGCATCGACCTAGGATCCAGGAGGTTGCGGTTCGATTCCCGGTCAGGGCACATGCCCGGGTTGTGGGCTCGATCCTCAGCAGGGGATGTGCAGGAGGCAGCCGATCAATGACTCTCTCTCATCATTGATGTTTCTNAGGTTATTTTATATACAAAACGTTTTCAAATAACTAAACCTCATATAATAGCATTTTATAAATTGGAAAGATGTTAAAGTCAAACAGCTCAATGCCCGTGTTATGAGTTTGACCGGGAAGGCAAAATCTTTGCTGTCTCCTCACTGGGAAAGATTTACGTTAGTAGAAATGCCTCGTAAAGGCTACCAGAGTTTAGCTCATGAGTTTTATTTCATATCGGTGTTGCAGCAGTGTCCAGGATGTGTCCTGGTGTGGTGTCAGGAGTTTAAAGTTAGAAAGGCCTAGATTTCTGTCTGTGCTCTACCATCTAACTTGCTGTGTGCTTTCCGGCAAGTTGCCTCGGCTGAGCCCGAGTTTCCCCATTCTAACTGGGATTGCTGATAGAACGGGGACAGCACCATAGTAGTTAAAACAGAGTACACCACCCAGTGAGTACATAATAAACAATACTTGAGGCTGGTAATGACAAGCGGGTAGTTAGGCTCAATATACCCATGGCCACTGCCCGAGCAAGGGGTCTCCGTGTGCACCTATGTGCATGGGGAGGAACAAGCACTATGTCACTGGTGTCCTTCTGGTCATAAATACATTAGGAGCTGCTTCAACTTTTGAATGGACTGAGGCAAAGTCTGTCCTATGCCTACTGAGATCTGCATGTTTATCTGTTTTGTGTACTTTGAGGTATTCTGAGGCTTACAGTTATGAACAGTTCCAAATGCACACAACTGGTATGATCCTGGTGGATTAATTATTGCTTTTTATTAAAAATAGTGATCCTCAGATGTCACTATAGTCCCTGGCTTGATCTCAGTTTGGGTAGGGGATGGGGAAGGGGGAACTGAGCCCTGGAGCTAATGTTTCCCTGGGCTGTTTTAACTCAAAAGTGTGAGCCAGAGACTAGCATCTCCTGGAGCTTGTTACGAATGCAGGGTCTCCACCTCCACTGAGACCTGGTGACTAGAACCTGCATGTTAATAACATCCTCAGGGGATTCGTAGGCACTTTCAGTTCCACCAGCCCTTTCTTAGGAATTTGAGTGCACCAATGTTTTTTTAAAAAATAGGCCTTATAGCCCAGCCAGGCGTGGCTCAGCGGTTGATCATCAAGGATTGCCACAATTTGTTGCTTATTGCTAGAATAGTTCAGATTTTTTTCCTTTAAAATTAAGATCCTAGCCTGGCCAGGCGTGGCTCAGCGGTTGAGCATCGACCTAGGATCCAGGAGGTTGCGGTTCGATTCCCGGTCAGGGCACATGCCCGGGTTGTGGGCTCGATCCTCAGCAGGGGATGTGCAGGAGGCAGCCGATCAATGACTCTCTCTCATCATTGATGTTTCTCTCTCTCTCTCTCCCTTCCTCTCTCTGAAATGAATAAAGATATATTTTAAAAAATAAAATAAAATTAAGATGCTAAATTTAATGTCTGAGGCACTGAGAACCTGCAGATTTTTTCAAGAAGAGCCTAAAGTTTTAAAAAATTTTTTGAAAAGTTTTGCTATGTAGGGCCTCCTTCTCATGTACTGACCTATCTCTGCTTCTTTGTGCAGCGGACACCTGCCTTTGCCACGATGCTCTCGTCCAGTGAGTTTGCACCTGCTTCTTGGGATCTCGTGGTCCAAGTGGACCATCCAAACGAGAAGCAGAAAGATGTCACGCTGAGAGTGTCCGGAGACCTGCATGTTGGCGGAGTGATGCTCAAGTTAGTAGAAAAGATCAGTAAGTTTCTATTTTGTTACGGTGTCTCTGTATTTGAAACCCTCTCTATTGCATCACCACTGATCTAAGTTGTCTCATCACCTAAGTTTTTCTGATAATTTATCTTATCATGGCTCATCTCCCAAGAAGAAGAGAAATGGGAGGCCCTGCAAGAGTCTCAACGCCCCCACCAACAACCCTTGTAAAAACTTGAGTCATGGGTGACAAACTAAAGCTTCCTAGGAGGTATAAAGCCGTATTTCCACAAGAATGGGCCCATCCCACTGGTGACATCTAGGGTGACTTAGACTATTTCTAAGGTGTTAGACTACTGTGTCAGTTCTCCATTAATGCCTGATGGCCCAGTGACAAAGCCAGCTTGGTACTAATGCGTTTTTTAACACCCATGCACCATTTGCTCTCCCTTTTTAAACAGAGAAAGTGAGATCTTCAGGGTCAGAGTTTTACAACGGGAGCCAACCCAATCAACCTAGAATTTAATAATGTTCTATTTGTTTTGTTTTTATTTTTATCTTCTAAGGCTGTGGATGCTGGCGGCCATTCATTTACACTAGTGAAAGAAAGCTTTTTTTGAAGCAAGTCTTCACTGAAGTCTACTATACATACAGAAAAGTGTACTTGCCATATGTGTGTAGTTCAATGAATTCTCAGTCCTGTCGCCAACCCCAGATCAAGAAACAAAACATTACTTGTTCCCCCACCCCAGTCCCACACCTGACCCCTCCCCGTCACTGCCCCACCAAGGGTAACCTCTGTCCTGAATTCTAACACCACAGCAATAATTGTACTTGTTTTTGAACTGTTTATAAGTGAAATTAAACAAAATAGACTCTTATGCATCTGCTTTCTTTAGCTCAGCATTGTGTCTGTGAGGTTTATCCGCATTGTTGCATATAGTTTTGGTTCGTGTGTTCTCTTACTTGGTTGTATGATTATGCCACAGTTTATCCCTTTACCCGTTGATGGACATTTGGGGGTGACTCCATTTGGGGGCTATTACAGACAGGGCTGCTGTGTAGTACACGTCTTTGGTGAGTACGTATAGGCATTTCTGTTGGGGATGTAGGTCAGAGGAGAGGAATTGTTGAATAATAAGAGTTTCTAAAATAGTTATAGCATTTATACTTCTACTAACAGCATTGCAAAAAAAAAAAAGGCTTTCTACATTAAAAAGAGGAGCAGAAACCTTTTTTTTTTAAGTAAATAAAAAAACACTGGTGGCTCTTAATTTAGCAAAATAAAAGATTGACTGCTGACTCCAGCACTGATGAAGAAAAAGAATTCCACTTGGATGCCCACCTTGAAGGCGGGGGAGGTCTCCATGCGGGTGCTGACACTCAGAGAAAATACCCGGCTCTGGTTTCAGCGTAGACACTTTGGAAACTGGGGTACATTGCTAGTAGAGAAATAATCTTGATTAAAGCCAAGTGCTCCTGGTCTTCACAGAAAGGCCCATGGCACCAAGAGGTTAAAGTAAGAGAACTTGAGCATTTCAACATGAACAAAATTTGTATGTTTCTGTTGCTTCCACAGCATTTAAATATCAGATGGTGAGGTTCAGCCTGTTTTCTACCTGTCCCACCAAGGCCAACAATCGCTGAGCCTTGGGTTGTAAGAGCAGGTGGGGCCCTAGAGAGCAGTGGTTTGTTTTCGTTTCTGCGCCTGATGGAATTGACTGGAGTGCCATTCTCTTGTTTTTACTTCACTGTGTTTCTATTTTTTTCAGACATAGCCCAAGATTGGTCAGACTTTGCCCTCTGGTGGGAACAGAAGCGTTGCTGGCTTCTGAAAACGCACTGGACCCTGGACAAATGTGGAGTGCAGGCCGACGCAAAGCTTGTCTTCACCCCTCAGCATAAAATGCTCCGCCTCCGCCTGCCCAACGTGAAGACTGTGAGGCTGCGAGTCAGCTTCTCGGCCGTGGTGTTCAGAGCTGTCAGTGACATCTGCAGAACCCTGAGTGAGTTCCCCGGAGGGGCCCGTGCCCTTTGGACTCTTGGCAGAGGGCAGGAAAACGCTGAGCGCGCTCTGCCTGCCTCGCGTGGTTGGCTTCACGGAGCACTGCCCTTATTAGGACGCGCACTTTTCAAGCCCAGGTCTGGGCACTTGAGCCATTTAGGTGAGATTAAACCAAATGGGACATTATTGAGATACTTCAGATTCATTCCCCCAAAGCTCAAAACTATTTCAAAGAGATTTACGATCTCCCCATTACGATCCCCCCAAACTCATTTCTCTAAGCCATGGCAAATCATCATTATATTTAAGACAAACCAAAAAAGAGTTCCATTAAATCTTTATCGCCATAGAGCCAATGCGTCTTTATTGGTTTTGAGAGGATGGTGGGGTAATGACTTAATTACTTCGCTAACATTTGGCTCCAATTAATACATAGCCCTATGCACAAAAATCCTTTGTGGAGTTTAAGCAGAAAAGCATACCTAATTATGGATTGAAACTGATTCTTATGAGATGGTGTCCCATGAGTTTAACAGCCACTAAGGACAGCTTCACCCAAGCCATTTCTTTTCTGTGGGACTTCCAAAGCAAACCCTGAAATAAAGGTTCAAGTACAAATATCTTTTTATTTGGGAGGTAATGCCAGGAAACACTGATTAAGAATGGGGACGTGAGTCTGGGCAGAGAAGGCGCCACCAATAAGAGATTGTCACCAATCAGGTCACACTGTGGGCTCCTTGGGACCTCTGGGAGACACCGCAGACATGCCTCAGGGCCATGCCACCCAAGGGCGAAGGAGCTTGGGGTTAATACACCACTCATCAGTCACTGAGGGCCGCTCTTGGAGAGCATTCACTCTCTGAACTCGTGTGGCCTGTTGCATCTGTATCTGGGCAGTGCGGCGTCCGGCGTTCAGAGCAAGCCCCCGGGCAGAGACACATGTCCTAGCCGCCACTGGAAGCTGAGTCAGAGTGCCCTGAGTTGGTGAGGGCCAAGAAGAGGTGGGCAGGCTGCCAATGTCTGCCACAGGGATGAAATTAGCTGCTGGGCATCACGTAAGAAAAGGGCTCTCAGGATCTGTGGTCCATAAAGAAAACAGGTGGGGTCCTTGGCTGATGTTTAAAAAGCTAAAAAGGGGGGGGGGA